CGGCCTCGCCCCGCCCACACCGGCCTTCTTTGGGCCGCCTGCCCCTCCCTACTTCACAGCCCACGCCAGTCCCTTCACACTCTGGGCCGGACACAGTTACTAGACGTGGCAGTCCCGAGCAAGCTTGTTCACAAGGTAGCTTCTGCCTACGAGAACCGCGGAGAAAAATGTATCTACCTGTATTATTGATTTCCTGTGCGCGCAGGAACTGAAAGAAGACATACAGTTCCCGATCATGTGATAGGTGTCTACGGTTTTGTTAGATATTTGTTCTCTCGCTGCTACACTTGTTGCTCCTGAGCAGCGTTCGAACTTTTGGAAACACATTTTGTTTAGTAGAATTTTTGGTACTACCGGGCTGCTAGTCTTGATTAATTTCAGATACACACATTATTTAAGATTCATTAATTTTAAGAACATGAAGATTCAATTGTAACTTGTATATAATTTATTTAAAATGAATTTGAAAATAATTCTTCATATTTTACACGTACCAAGTGAGACAAGAGATAGAAGGGGGAACTGTCGAAAGAAGGCAAGGATAGATCATGTCACAGAACTGTAATACGTTATTACTCATGTCCGAATGACGGAGATTTGTAAAATAATTTCTCATGGAATGTTTCAGATTACAACGCTAGTAAATCTGATTCACGGGAATGGCCTCATTTGGCCCGGAGCGAACGATTCGTATCGGCGCCTCGCAAATCACTCGCGCGAAAGGGTTTTCCATCATGTGAGCTTGTGAGCGGCGAGAAATCTATTGAAGACGAATGGATTGGAACCGTCTCATTTCGTGAAGCACGTGTTTCAGTATTGTGTACACTTTACACATGTTCTAATTCTGATTTGGAAGCCCTTCGAGCTGAAACATAAGTTATTGTAAATTGCTGTGTCATTGCCGTATACATGCCTACAAAGCAATTGCCGGATTATTCCACTGTCTAATTTTTTAAATCTATTCAATTGAAAACCTCTGCCTTATGATTTACTTAAGAGACGCATGGATAATAGATCTTTCGTGAACATTTCTTTTAGAGGAGAGACTATGAAAACAATACCAACAAACTAAAAAAAATGACGCGTAAATAAAGGTGTATATTCATTTAAAAAGTAGAATCACGTTTTCGGCAATTATTGAAAGGTCATTAATTCGGGTGGGATAATTTCATTTTTGTAGTAATTGGACTAGTCCATATGAATTATTCTGAAAAATACCGACTACTTGGGATGCTATCAGATTGCTAGATATTACCCTTGGGAAAACGCATTCTTTAAATAATGTAAAACAAAAACTTTTCTGGTATAATTAAACACAAACTCAAAGTTTGGCACCAGTTAACTTTAGAACGCGAAACTCCAAAATAGCTAAAAAGGTTAAAAATTTACATTAATTACGCACACGTAAATTTACCGTATTAGGAAGAGAATTAACCCAAGTTTACAAGAGTAAATATGGTCCTTCAAAAATAAAACAATCGTACAATTATAGAATTAGCGCGTCTGTCATGACCATCTGGAACAGCAATGCAGTATGCACCAACGCTTTGCAGCAAGCAGTGCCGGCCCCAGCGCCCGCAGCTCGTTGAAGTGCAGCACCGGTGTTTGCCTTCCGGCCAACTGCACCGCACAGCTTCACTAAAACGGCGACGGCGCGGCTTTCTATTGGCGCAGGCCGCTGCGGCCGCGGGCGCTGCGCGGGTGGCGGGTGGACGGGGGAACGAGGGTTGGAGAGAAGTGAAGCGAAGTTGGATTGGGAACTGGAAGGCCCGTGAACAAAGTGCTCGCTGCTGCAAGTAATTGCGGCGATAGGAATAGCCCATGAAGGTAATGTTGGCCATGTTGGTAACGGTGGTGAAGAAGGTGTAGCAACTGTAATAGGTATTAGCTTGTCGATGGAGGTGGTAAGTGTAGGAATATAGAAAATAGCCGTAGGAACGTGAGCTGACGAAAAGCTCAAGAGTTAAAAGTGAGGCGGTAGAGTATTTCTCGATTGATAGCAAAGATGTACCGAAACGATAAGAAATTAAATGCACTGGTAAAATTGATTAACACAACATATTATCAAATAGCAGCGAGTACATGGCTAATGGTGACGGCAGTAGTGAGTAGTAGTGATGCCAATAGCGAATGAATATAGTGCTTATTGTGGAAGTTGTGGCGGTAGCAATGGTCACAGATGAATGATTATACGATGGAGGTGGCGTTTGCGGTGCCTGTGACAATAACAGTTACGTCAGCTACGTTGGTAGCTATTGCGAACCGGTCAGGCGCACCGGCTTCGGCACCATGCACGGGTGCGACGACCGCAGGACAATGGCCGGCCTGCGGGTGGGGTAGGCTGCGGAGAGGCAGGTGAGTGGGCGGGGACATCTGGAAGGCGGGGACTGGACGTGGAGAGGACGGAGGACGGGACAGCAGGGGCTCTGGTGCCGGAGACAGCAAGTATTTTTCGTCACGCATTTAAAGAATATAGATAAATACAACACGTGTGGAATATATATTGAATTAAGTGGAAATTCCGCAGTCATAGTTACGCGAAAGAAGTGACAAGATAAGCCGCATCTGTATTTTAGTGGAAAAAAAATACGTTGAAAATGTGCTGGCAGTAGTCAAGATAGTTTTATATTGATTATAGAGGGTCAAGACCTGTATCTCACTATTGACTTGAAAATAGTAAATAGTAAAGTGTCTAACCTATCAAATTGTTTTTCTTAGCAAAGTTACCCCAACGATCTTTACGTATGTGACTTTTTGAATCACAACCATGATAAATTACTATACACATGATTCGATTTCGTGATTTCATGATTCCATTTCCTGTAATTATTTGTCAAAAAGCCTTGCCTAGTAGCGGATACGTGTCGGGTTTGCCAGCGACCAAATTGGGTTACCGCGTAGTCGGGGTCAGCGCGGCGGCGAAGGGGGCTGGGGAAGGATTTGGGGGAAGGGTTTGGGGAAATGGTTCGCGGGAATGGTTAGGGGGAAGAGTGCGGGGACAAGCGTGGAAGTACTTGTAGATGCGGGGTCGGCCTCGGGGACGAGAGCGGAAATTGGTAAGGGGATGGGTGCGTGGAAAGATGCGGGGGCGGGTACGATTTTGGGGAGCGGGTTATGGTACAGGTTCGTATGCGAGGACGGGTGCAAGGACGGGTGTAGGGACGGGGCAGGTGTGGGGACAGGCGTGGACATGTGTGAGAAACAGGGCGAGACATGGTGTTGGACCAGGTGCGGGACGGGACGGGGACAGGGGGGCAGCGTGTGGACGGTGAGGGACCGCAGCTGCACGATGGACGCGGGAAAGGGGGACAGATGGAATGACGGGTGCGGGGACAAAAGATGCGGTTCAGGTGCGTGTTAACGTTCACGTGCATGGATGGTGCTTTGAGGTTCACGGGGTCGGGTGCGGAGACTGCTGTTAGACGACTACGCTGCAGTGTGGGATGCGGCGGACGGCCACTAGCCGAACAAGGTGGACAACGTCGGGAGCACGAGGCAGTTGCCGCGGTTGGAGGTGCGGGCGGCGGGACCTGAAGAGCCGGCGACGCGGCCGGCCGCACTCGACGCTGGGTTCCGCCGGCTGCTGTTCCACCTGAGCGCACAGCCAAGCGCCGCTCGACGCCGGCGAGCGAAATCAGACGAACGAGCGAGCGATCGCCACGCGCCGGCGCGGCGGCGAACGGGTCGTGGCGGGGCGGGGCGGGGCGGGCGGAGCGAGCGGCCCGATCGCCTCGGGGTGAGGTGGGTGGGTGGGGTCGGGCAGCGGGCTCGCCTCGGGTGGGGGCGGGGCGGGCGGGCGCGGGCGGGGCGCGGCGGCGGGCGGGGACGGGCGCGGCCGTGAATCGCTCACGCGGACTGCGAGCGGACGGCGGCGGGGAGGGCGGGACGATCGCCTCGGCGCGGGGCGAGCGGGCGGGCGGCCGCCGCCCGAACGGAAACAATCACGTTGTAATTTGTTGTTTAATGTTGCGACTGCGAATTACGTCGATACGAAAGGCAAATGGGCGGGCGCTGCGCGTGACAGCGTCCGCGCCGCGTCGAGAGGCGACGCAAGCGATTCGCAGCCTCTGCTCGGGCGAGAGACGCCGCTCCGCGGATTCCCAATCCTCCAATCACCGCCTGATAAAGAAGGCGAGGGATTGCAATAGTTTTTGACGTCTTTTTTCTCCGGTTGAGGGAAGTGTTATTTCTGTTATTCGTTTCAACAGCTCACGGGACTGAATTTTCAAGCCCTTGTCTATAGTCTCTGCCAGAGACTAAAGTTTGTGTTTCGACGCTGTTGCTTAAGCGAGTTGAAGCAAGCGAATCGAAGCGAATGCACAAAGAATTGTGATATTTGTATTTTGATCAGGAACCAACATGAATGTTTTCAAAAAATGTTAAAAATGCATGTCTTATCATAAGAAGTGTTCATTAACATATTCAAGAAATAGTTCATTACACACAAGCTGCAAATTTGAATTATTATTAAATAATAATAATGATAATAATAGTGATAATAATAATTGTAATAATAGTAATAATAATAATAACAATAATAATAATAATAATAATAATAATAATAATAATAATTTCTAAAAGATTATCTTTATTAGATGATAATAAATTTAAATATAATTTTTTAATTTCCAGTTCGTAAATGTATTTTTATTTTAATTATCTTCTTAAACTTACTTTACATTTAGTGTAATGCATTCTTAAGCTCTTCCACCCAATCGTCTTCTGATGCGTTCTTTAATAGAAAGCTAATCAATTTTAGTAGACAAAATTGTATTAATTTATTTGTATGAACAATTTACAGAAGACAGAAATTAACCGTAATGTGCGACCGCTTTTCAGAACTAAATTTATATCTTCTAAAAGTGAATATAATTAACTTTTCATTTCTTGGAATGGTATTATGACTATTATAAAATACTTTGGGGAATAAATTGGGGAAGAAACGAATACAGCAACAAAACTTCAAGGAAATATATTAACCTATATTGCAGAATTATCTGAAGAAGAGTTTTACGTACCAAAAAAATTCTAACCGAACATAAACTTTGGGTGGCTTTTGGATACGAGAAACCTAGTTAAGATTGTGACTCATAGAAATGCTCTATTCATCTCGCGCAGGAGAATTTAATGCGATGTTATCATACTTCTGGAAACAAAGGAGAAAATTGAGTTTCCTGGAAATGTGGGTGCAAACTGCGTACTCATATGAAACTAAGGAGAAGAGGAGATGTATACCAGAGATCCTGCAAGTTTCTGAAAGAAGATTGACATCAAAACTTCTATATAAAATTGTAAGAGAGAAGATATTTGTTATTAAAATTAAAATATTCAGCAACAGTAGCGCTTTAGACAAAAGAGCGACAAGAAAAAAGTTGGTACTATGCTCATTGAATTGATTCTGCTATAACAATTATAAAACAAAATAAGTATACTAAAACACAAATTTTAATAAATTGCGCGAAATTAATAACATAGAATAGAAAAACCTGTTTTGGAATGTCAACAAAATTTGTTACGTACGTTGTCATATATATATAAGGTTCTTGGAAGAGAGTTTCTGAAATCATCGTGAAGAGGTGGTAAGAAAACATAACTGAGTTCTCGAACTAACTTCAAATTTCTCTCTATACATCAAGCACTTAAGTCAATAAGGAATAGGTTCTTCAAATAAAATGATGTAGATGCATTTCAAAGTTTAGTAATGTATCAGAGACCTCCATCAAACAGTTCCACCGAAAAATTTCTATGTTAATTCAAATAAAACTCACTGATCATTTTACTCATAAAATTTAATTTCTGATATATATCCAAATTAGAGATCAAAATGGATGTAGATCTATACATCTAACAAACGCATTTTATTTCTTTTTAAACTGTTAAAACCTCATAGCTAAAACTAAAGACAAGTAAACAATTGTTCATTAACTCGTCGGTACCTACTCAATCAACCTACAAAAATTCAAGGTTTGTCACTAAGATTAAAATGAATACATTTAATGCGTTACTTTGTACGCTCATTGCATCGAATGCCTTTCAATATCATACCGATTGATTGATTACTAGTGATTGCGAGCGCTAGTAACTCAACTGCTAAATTCATTATTCTCGTAAGAGTAGTGTATGTGTTTTTCTCGAGAGTTGACGGTGACCTTCCCCCGCTGGATGGTGAGATCCGGCTCCTATCTACCGTCAACTAACGCGGTGTATGTCCCCATCCAGTAATCTCCCACCAGCAGGGTACCGCCCCAACAAGGACGAGCTCTAAGCTCACGACCGGTCTCCTGCCATGTGTGCAGGTTTAGTGTGTGTAATTAAGAGGTGACGATAGGATAAAGAAGAGGAAAGAAATATCGCGCGCGGTCCGTGGCGCGTTTGTTAGGATATCGCTCTGTTATTCCCCTTTTTTGATTGGAGAAACCACAGAAAACTACCGATCAGAGCAGCCGGCCGCTAGAATTCTCCTCCAGACAGCGAGTGAACTCGACCTATGTATCTTGTATCGAAAACCTGTAGCAGTCGGGTCTCAAACCTACGACTTTCCGGCCAGAGGCACTGCAGTGACGTTAGTTAATGCCCTGAGCAACCTCGCAAAGTACATAAGAGTACTCTAGTAAGTCTCCCAGAACATCCCGAACGAAAGGAAATGTTTCAAGCCATGCCTCAAGTGATGCACAAACACCGTATCCCACCCGTTGACTCCACACTGGCGAAGCGACAGTCCTCACACTTCGACACCACAGTTCACGTTTCTCACCCCTTATGCTTCTCTCTTTCCCCTCCCATCCCCATCCTCTCTTACCCCACACCCTCATCCCCCTCGCGGGGTCGCCGTCGCGCAACTTAGCTTGTTTGCCACGTCCTTTGTCAAAGGCGCGCTGTTTTTCGTTCCGGCGGGCCCGGCGTTCCGCAGGGATCCGAAGACGCCACCCACCCACTGCTCCTCCCGTCCCGTCCCGCCATTCCCCGCCCCGTCTCGCCCCGTCCCGCCCCGTGCCTACGACTTCAGCATCGTCGTCGACGGGTCTTAATTAGTGGCGACGAGTTGATTTCGACGTTAATAACGGGTATTAAACAGTAGGGACAAATATTGGGACATAAAACGCTCGCGCGTGTTTCTCTCATCGCAGGCGATAATTAATGCGTTTGGCGCACGTGCCGGGCGCTGATTACGCTTTGCAACCGCTAGGCGGCGCCGCTGTCTGATTTTGCAAGGCAGAAGTCGGAAGTATTTGTCGTAGTTAAAGACAAATGAAGATTTGGTGAAAGGTTAGCTTTGGAATGCGCCCTTACAATGTAAGATATTTTGTTATTTGTGCACTATCCATTCTATTTTTGAACGTACATATCTGCTAATGAATTTGAATATGTAATCTATTTCATAGAACAGCAATTAAAGAAAACTAGCTATTGAGTAGATCCTTTTATTTGATGAGGCGAATATGAATACAAATACGAATGCGATAACATAATAGGGTACAACAGCATGAATAAACGTTGAATTATGTTACTGTATCAATATGTACCGAATTTTGAAAATAGAAGTTGCGTGGAATATTTCCCCGAAAGTGCATGGAATATACACCCACGAGAGCGTTTAGGCAATTTTCCGCTATTTTCTGAATAAAGTTTTAAAAGATCAAAGCCAAAACACGAAAAAATTTGTAAGGGTGTGCTAGGAAGTATAAAATACTTAGAAAGGCTTTAAATATTATTCAATTAGTAAACAAACTTTCATCACAATGCAATTAAAACTATTTTAGCATTTTATGTTTTCTCTCCGTACCGGTTTGGTACAGTAATTGTAACTTTAAACTCTGTAACTCTGAAAATTAATATTATAGCTATGACAGACTGCTGAATAAATTAATATCAAAATTTGAATTTGACGGAAGATATTAGAAAACTTTACTAGCAGAAATTTGTTATATATTTCCTACGTCAGATTATAATAGTTCACATTCAGATTACAGTGAACTCCCTTTAATATTTCCATTACTATGAGCAATTCCCCAACGAACTGTTACAGCAAAAGTGTCAGAAAACGCGCACAGTTCCAACAGCGTTTCCTGGTGTACCTACGAACTACAAAGCATCGAGTCTGCCACTGCACGTGGCTAGCCGCCTGAAAGGAATCTGAGAGGCTCGCATCCCTCGTACTGCCCATCCTGCTGGCCCGACCCGGGTCGAGTAGCCTGTCTGTCTGTCAACGCTTTCGCCGGCGCGGTGGTCCTCGGCGCTGTCCTCTGCCGGAGCCACGCCCCCAAATGCGTCCCCTCCGTGCGCGTCCGAGCGTCCGCCTGACCCCAGCGGCGGGCACGGCACGCGCCAGGCCAGGACTGGCCGATCGGAGCGAAGAGGGATGGCAAACGAGAGGGCGGGAGGGGAAGGAGCAACGGGGCGGGGGGGAGCGTGGCGCTTACATTTACAGAGAGCGCGGGCGCCCGCGCGCTGCGGCGGCCCTCGCGTAATCGAGTCTGATGCCCGCGGACGGCAAGCCGCCGACGTGGCTCAGGCTGAAGCGGCGGGCGGGGCGGGGCGGGGAGGTGGGCGGGGGCGGCCCGCTGCGGCCGGTTTGGTGAACCCCTGCGTCGCGCCAACACGGGGAGGGCGCCGGGTCTGACGGCTGGAGGGCCCTAGGCAACTAGTGCGCGGGCTGAGTGGGAAGCAAGGCGAGGGCCAGGGACAGACCTGCTGAGGAGGCTCACCGGAAACCTCCGTTGGCGATTCAGCGCCTCTAATCCTAGTCTAATCCTAGTCTCTAGTCCTAGGATTCGAGTGCAAAAGCAAGACGAGTGCCAGGGACAGACCTGCTGAGGAGGCTCACCGGAAACCTCCGTTGACGATTCAGCGCCTCTAATCCTAGTCTGATCCTAGTCTCCAGTCCTAGGATTCGAGTGCCAACGGTGGCAGGGTTTTTGATACTATCTAGATAGCTAGGTTTAATTCAGCCACTGGAGGAGAATTCTAGGATGCTCTGATCGGTCTGATCGGTCACTTTCCATGGTTTCTTTGAGCAATACCTGGAGAATACTGGAGCAGTACCCTCCTACAAACGGTCCACGGACAGCGCGCGAACCTTTCTACCCCTTCCTTGTCCTGTTGACACCCCTTACACACACAATTACAATCAGACTCACATCGGCAGACCAGTCAGGAACCTAGAACTTATCTTTGCTGGGGCGGCGCCATTAAACATTGCAAAATACTAACACTATTGGATGTTCCAGGAAAATAAAAGTGTTAACTTGAGAATTACATCATCTACCTTTTGGTTGCATGTTAATATCTTAAAGGATCCTAATACCAGAAGTGAAAATTTATTTGCAACCTAATGGACTACATACCTTATAACGTTTTGTGCAGGGGTTCATGTGAATTACAAGCAGTATTATAGGAAATACCTATTTGATAATGTTAAGACATAAAAAAAATAAAATTTCTAATAATACAATATTAAAATTCAGAAATTCAAAATCCTCTTTAAACAACGTTTTATATTTCCAATAATAACGAATAATTAGACGTAATTTTAATGAATCAGCTCGTGAACAGTTCTGTAAATTATTTTTTGTAGAAAACATAGAATCCATGTTTTCCTCAAAACCTAGCAGAAAAAAATAACTACATTAAAACACACTACTAAGTACCGATGAGCGAAAGAGAGTGGCCTTACCTGTTTAGAGACCTGCTCTGCACCGCTAGCCAGAAAGTGCTTTTGCATAAGGTTGGGGGCCAGGAGTTGTCTGCAACAGAAAGAAATACATAGGAAGTTATTGATAGATAAATAACACGACAACACAACAGAAAAACAAATTAAAATTTTCGAACTAACAATTTTTAGATAATAATAATAATAATAATAATAATAATAATAATAATAATTATTATTATTATTATTATTATTATTACTATTATTATCAAACTTCCGATTAAAGGTATTTTATTCGTGAAGCTTCTTTCAAAGGTGCAAAAATACAAAATATACAATTCTGACAACATGTAGTGAAAACATATTCAAAAATAGGAAAATATATAATAGTTAGTAGAAAGTCCAATATAATATAAAATAGGACTGGAATAGTATTCAGTAACGTTGTTTAATGCTGATATATTCATTCATGGGCGTCCATTATTTTTTATGGCTGAAGTTTCAAAACAAGCATTATGTTCGATACTGAATTCGAAGTTCGAATTGAAATGATATTGTTAGATCAATAGACCTCTGTGATACTTCATTAAGGCAACGAGTATGCTTCATTAATATGTGACAAGTAGATACACAGCTTTCGGAGGCTGTTGTTAACAACTTCCGGAAAACATTCGATTTTGTTTTCAAAAATCAATACTCATATAAATATTCCCCAGGTGAAACGGATGTAGTAAAACTCTGTTACCGGATTTAAAACATAATGGACGTCATTCGCGAACTACTGTTGGAGACATGTTTTGTGAACAGGTCACGATTTAGGACAGAATATTACGGTGTGTATGCAATTTAGCATTTAACAGGAAATAATGTCCTCCAATGCATTCATTGTGATTTTTGGCCAACGTGCCGCCATTTGCACTGTTACGTTGCAACATTTATTAGCCGTCGGGGAAGTATCGATGGACTAGCAAACAACAGAGCTACAGAATTCCCAGCGTATGCCGGCGCTTTGTGTTCTGTTCTCACCCAGTTTCAGTTTATAGATGGCGAAAAACAGGTTTAGCATATTAAAATTTACGGGCATTTTCTTTCTTTGTTCTCTTGTAAAGTGAGACAAAGGACACGAACATATTTCACGAAACCGTAACATTATCGACAGATGGAAACAGTAACGAACAAACCTACCATGTTTACAGAATTATTAGATATGAAACGACTTGAAAGAATTTATTACGATACGAATAAAGTTCCTGAGTAAGTGAATGAAATAAGAGTAAATTACACAACAAACGTTGTTACGAATGTAAAATAATTAGCTCAGTAATCGGGTTATAAAATATTGTAAAAAGGTTGTGATTAATAGCCAGATATAAAATTACTCAAATTTAACTCAAATTAGTATAGCGAAATCGCAAATCCCGTTTTGAATTTAAATGAACTCAACACAAGACGTGAAACTTGCAATAAATTTAGCTTCAGTGAACAGTTTCTTGTAGTTATCTATTTTAATATTGTAAGCTTACAATTGTTTCTATAAATAAAAATAAATCTAAAGATTATGACACAAATGAACTGAAATCAATTATTATGTCAACAGTCTTGAAAATAACGGCAAAGAACATACTAATTAATTTCCCAGATCAATGCCAATTCAGAATCATTTATTTAAGCACGTGCCAAAAAATGGAGTTTGTAAGGCATGCAGTAGTATACTTGCGCTCAAAAGCACTTGAATATGAGAGAATTAGGTGCAATCGTATTCAGTATTTCCCGATAAAATCCCTAAAGCTAGGGATCCAAGTTCTGACTATGGCGAGTTTTCGACACTAGTTACATAACTGGACCGAATTCACTCACTGGCAGGAGGAGGATTCTAGCCAGGTGGTCTTTTCAGTAATTTTCCAAAGTTCCTCCGATCAATACCAGGCTAATGCTTGAGCAGCGCCTTACCTATAAGGGGCACGAACGGCACGCAATCTTTTTTCCTCATCCTCGTCCCTTGTCCCTTGACACAAATACACACACGTATGTGCGCTACCCTACAACACTTGTAGAGAGGCTAGAGCTTATTTTTTTGGGCGGTGGCACTATGGGAGATACCAGGAAGTGGAAAACCTCACATGCCGATGTACAGGTCGGCCCCTAATCTCACGATACAGCACGACAAACCCACAGACGTGCGTGTAGATATGGTATAACGGTTAGCGTATCGGACTGTTACCCAAGTTGGCGGGTTCAAACCCGATCGAAGCCGTGGATTTTTAAGGGCGGAAAAATCCTTCGGAGCGGAAGTAAAGCAGGCTGTCCCATGTTAGTAGATTTTCTTGCATGTAAAAGATACTCAAGCCTAAATGACGCCTCTGAATTCTAAATTCAAATCGCCTGTTTCTCGCCCAAGAAATTCCTCCTTTCTCTGGTAGTTGGTGAAAGGAGCGTAGCGAAATTTGCGTGGTCAGACGGAGTCTTGCGACGCAAAATAAGACATTAATTCAATTAAATTCAATTGAATTCAATTCAATAGACGCTCGTGGATGTGGCAAACCAATACTGACAGGCATTTCTACTACTTGTCGTTTGCCGGGTGGCTTGTTCAGGGCAGTACGTGCGCGAGGCAGCGAGTTGAAAGAAAAGTGAAAATTGCCGCATCGCGGCGGCCAGCACGGTCAGCGCTTCCAGTCCAGGAACAAAACTACCGCTGCGCACGTGCGTCTAGGCGCCCCATCAGAGCGGAAAATGGCGGCTGTTTGCGGGAGCGGAAGCACAGCGGGAAGAAATTGTAGCAGCGTAGACGATGACGGTTAATGTTAATGTTGGTGGAAGCAACGCTGGAAATAGCGGTTCGTAGACCGGTAGTGGCGCAGGAGGAGAAAAGACGTTCAGGAGGTTGAAGAATACGGAGGACGACTAGGCGATAAAGAAAAGGGAATACGGAGGAAAGATGTGATGAGAAAAAAGAAGAAAGAATGGGAGGGAATGGAAAAAAAAAGAAAAGAAGAGTAGCAACGAGAGTAGTAAAACTGAAAATATAAGAAGCTGAATATGAGGGAAGAAAGGTAAAGATCGAGGAAGGTCAAGACGAAGAGGAGTAAACAAAGATATATATATATATAGAAAGAAGCGGAGGCTGTGGTGAACGTATAAAAGCAACTGCCATATTGTCATTGATCATAATTGCTTGCGATGATTTAAGTAGAGTTGGTGGTCAGTATTAGGAGGTAGTGCGGCAGTGCTGATGACAATGAATCTGTGTAGTAGAAGGTCACTGTGATAAGTGTGTGTTGTTTGTGGCTAGATTAAAATAGAAAAGGTATTTATTGCAGTAAAAGTGTATAATCTGTAATGTAAACGTGGGATGGAGAGAATGAAGGATCTCATGTTTTTGTTGGTAGGACTGGTGAAATACATTTTGTAGAGTATGACGACATTGGTAGCTAATGTTACATTGTTAAAGGAAGAAATTGTCCCACTGATCATTGCACACAAAGTATTAGTAGCTGAGATACAGTTGAAATAATACTGGTTATAGGATAATAGACTCGGTTTTCGTAGATGAACAGTGAAAACTGTATGTGATGAACTGACAAGAAATATAATCTGCGTATCTTTCCTTGATCTTCAACATTTCACCCTTTTACGTAGAATCTTGGAATCGAGAGTCGAATACGGAGAGAAACTGTTCTCAAAACTGGGTACCATAATGTAGCACGTTCTATTACCCATGTGACAATTTAAGAGCTAGTCCATTTACATTTTATGAAATAAAATAAAATATTTTAAACTTTCTATTAAACTATCCAATAAAGTGACACATTAAATTTTAAGAAAACCTTCTCACTGACATAAAGAAAAGAAGCATCATCAGTATCCATTAAAACATCTTGATTTTACGAAATTCCATTGTAAGTAAATAGGATAATAAATATCTATAAAACTTTTCAGAGCTCCAGAAAGTAAGCATACTCTCGACAGGAAATGTGACCATGCAAGAAAAATAATGAGTTGCGTAGTAATGTGTACAGAATAAAGAGTTCACATATGTAAACAAGGACCAGACCATTTACCGTTTGTTTACAATAACTCAGATCAACTTATACCGTTACAAATCAGTTCAACAACCACATTGTAGAAAACACCGTGTTGGCAGCAATGTTTTTCGTATCCCGTCTACGTTCCTAATTATAGCGCAGCTTACCACTCTCTAAGAGACTATACAAACATGCACTATAATGTAAATAGTACATTATATAACAAAAGCATTAGTTCCAACCATATCCTCAATCAAGATGACATTTTATTGAATTCAATTACAAAATACCGCCTCCTGGCGCTCGCAGAATCTTCATACTGGGCGAGACGTAAAGCCCATGACTCGCTGATTGATACTAGAGTCAACTGATCTGACGGCGCATCAACTGATAAGGCAATTTTTCCCGTACGTGTAGTGCATGCTTTATCCTCGGGAGGTGTTGGTGATTTTTCCCCGCTGGATGGCTAGATCATGCGCCACCTACCGACGCGTTGGCTAGCAGAGTTTTCTCCATCCAGGTATCTCTCACCAACGGAGCATCGTCCCAACCGAAACTTGCTTTAATCTCCTGGCTGGTCTCCCGGCATACGTGGTAGTGTAGTGCATGAAAGTGTGTGTGGGATAGAACAAAGCATGAGAAGGAAAGATCGCGCGCATTCCGTGGCCCGTTTGTTAGGGTACTGCTCCGGCATTTGACTGTGGCTCGGGTATTGATCAGAGAAACCACGGAAAACTACCGATCAGAGCAGCAGGTCGCAGGAATTTTCCTACAGACAGTGCCAGAATTCGACCCAGTTATCTAGTTAGTGTAGAAAATCCTGCCACCGTCTGGACACGAAAATAGCACCTCCCGGGCAGTGACATCACTTGATATTCTAAGTCATCTCCCCCTTTCCTTCCTCCATGACGCCCCTCGAATCTTACATAACGGTTGTGGTTGCCTCTAAGAACAAATCCGCCCCGAAAAGGCGTTTCCGCCATTCTCGAATGTACCCACACATACACAACGCACGGTGTGGAGCCCCGGACGGGGCAGGAGCGTGACGTGCAGGTAGCGGGCAGTCAGCTTGAGCATCGGCCGCCCAGTTTAAACCAATTACGAAAGCTCGTGGATGAGCGTGGATCACGCCAGGCCAGCTCCTCTCGCCGCCCGCCGCCCCGCCCCGAGTGCGCGTCGAAGGCTGACCTGACCACCACCGATTACGAACTTGCAACTCTGCCAAGCCCCATGAATCGCTTTGGAATTAGCTGTGGGCATGAAAATGCGAGACGCGAAACGCAATCCAATATTCGTTCTTTGTGGAGTATCCAGCACTACACGCCACGAATAGAATGTTTTCGGACGAATAAAATTGTATTCCCGCTAAAAATATATTGTGACGTCGTCGGGGCGCGAGTGAAACACAGACACGGAGTTGTTATGTACACTTTTTCTATACAATAATTACACTCCTGAGGAACTAGTGCTGCTCTCCCAGCACTGCATTTCCCTGAGGTAACCCCGCCTCAGCCTGACAAGGACCCCAGCGGCTAACTTTAGCGTCTCTTTGAGTCACCTACAAGCCTTCATAGTCTTCACTTTTATTCTGTCATACCTGTGGAGGCCTGACACAGGAAGATTAAATATACTGTGATATTATCGAAAAACACGAAGAGTTTCAGCAGAAGAACACTTCAGTTCTCACGAAGGTTAATGCTCGAAAAGAAACGTTCTTTTTATTGCTGCTTATAACCTAATATATGAAAATCAACACTTGTTTGTTCGCATTTTCTGCGCTTCTGTACCGTTCATTCGATTGCGATAAAACTTTGTCAACTAGTTGCTTGCTCTTCGCAAAGAGTATAGGATAAAGCAATGTGAATGTACCTATGACTGTCGCACATATACACGCGTAGATGATAATTTTCATTATCTCAAGCGCCCCTGAACAGAAGCTCTACGGAACCCTTACCCGCACGTATTAAAGTAAAGCCGCATACTCAAGTATTAGGCGCGGCTTCCCTGAAAGTATTCTGCCCCTGCAATTGTGAAATATCGGCCGGAATTATTACTCGAACGTTATCTCGGGAAAGTAAATAGAATTTCTCCAAGACAATGTCATAACGAATGCTTGCCCTGACTCGACGGAGAATGTTTTAACAATAGGATACTTGACAACTATGTCCAAACCAGGACATAGAACACACCCATTCTCGTGCGAAAGTCTTTCATATATTAGAGTTCATCATAGTGTATTCAGCGTATATCAGAGTGTGGCGTAAAACGAGATTAACAATCACGTGTGAAATGTAATACATTGCAACAGCGAAGCATTGCGAGGTCAACTAGCTTATATTATTGTCCTAACGTTGACCCTACGTCGCACGAAGGCCTGTTCGGGTGCACAAACTAGTGATTCGACTTCGAGTAGAAAACATCAATTTTGCCAAACATCGATGTTCAAAATCAAAACATCGATGTTAAATACACATGAACCCAAAACCGTCAAAGTTTGTAAACATCGACGTTGTAAAGTTGATTTAGCAACGTCGAACATTAAATACGTGCACAACAATATTTAACTTCATAATGTCCGTTTAAAATTAAATGAAAACAAAATTATTCAACGTCTCTCTATGTGCGAAATACAGAAAAGACGAAGAAAATGCCAGGCCATCAGGATCATCTCGAGTAGGGATGGTAGTCTGCTCGAGACAATAGAGAGGACCGCGTTCGTTTCAACCGAATACAAGCTGGTACCACGTGTTATTGTTTAATTTAACTTTTACAAAATTGTGATTATGGGCATATTTCTCCCCGAATAAAACATTGAAAATGTAAAAACATCAAACCCAAAACATCGAAAATGAAAAAACACTGGTTTGAATACATCGATGTATAAAACATCGCTATTTTTATAGAAACATCGATGTTTTGGAAACATCCCTAGGCGGAGTGCGCGTGAGTTGGCAGGTGGCGTGTTCTAGCGGCGCGGGGCGTTCTAGCGGCGCGGGGCGCGGACGCCGCCGAGGTCTTCCGACGATTAATTAATGAAACACAGCGAGGCGGAGCAATTAGACCGCGCCTGGATACGGCGCGGGGGGGGGGCGGTGGCCAGAAGAGGGAGCACCGGTGTCAGCGGCGCCGCGCCGCGCGGTCGCACCGGGGAATACACAAACAACGAGGGCGCGTATGTGTGTGTGTGTGTGTGTGTGTCGGAGGATGTTTGCGGCGACGAATCGTCGCGTGTGTCGACAGGACCGGCGGGTGATCGAATGGGCTTAGGGCATCAATTGACGTCCGCTGCTGTGCCTTTTGACCCGGAGGTCCTAGGGGTCGACTGGCAGTGTTTTCGAGGTAGCTAGATCGGATTCAGCGGCTCTCTTCTAGTGGCCGGTGGCTATGAACAGTCTCTCCGCCCAATACCAGGCGAATGCCAGAGACGTAGCCTAACAAACAGACGCGATCTTTCCTTCCTCTTCCCAACCCTATTTTCACCTCTTGCATACACGCACTACACTACCGCACGTTTTGAGATACCTGCCAAAAGCTTAGAATTTGTCTCGGCTTGGGGGGTGCTCGGCTAACAGGGGATTTCTGGTTGGCGAACTCAACACTTACTGTTAGTAAAAGGATTTTTTAAGAGACCATGATGAGTTTCCAGACCATGAAGAGTTTCCAAAGGTACACATTTTGGATCATTGTTTGAAATTCAACTTATTGATAATGAGACTGCAAAAGATCCTTATGTAGGTTTCCATTCCGTCATTTCGGATCCAGTAATTAACTGTCATTACCGAACTTTGTACAGCTTAAAGGCAGTAATGTTACTGTGATGGCGTACTAATGAAAATTGTATTTTCTTCTTAACATTTATCACAGATCATTCAGAATATATAAATGAGTTTACAAGGTATTTAAAGTATGCCCCGTGATCTCCTCTGTAACAGTGACGGTGCAAATGTCAAGAATAAATGCAACTGAATGCTTCATAATAGAATTACGACACTGTGAGAACGTTACAGATTAAACGTATCGTAAAGCATTGAAATCGTAAAGGAACCGCAAATAGTATGTTAGAAATGTGCAGTTAGGGATGCCTGGCTATGACGGCAGGGGGATTTATCAAGAGTGAATGTTGCAGCATTATGAGATTGATGAGATTATTTTCACTGGCTGGAAGCCGATGATTCTGGATTTCATATTTTCAGTATCCTGGCTCTAACAGTACTAAACTGTATTCGATCTCTGTCGCGACATCAAAAAATATCAGTTAAAAGAAAAAAAATTGGGGTATAAAACTATCCTCATAGACGCTGCTGCGCCAATCAGCATCAGCAGAAATAATAGCATAGGCATTTGAAATGTTAATAACGAATCTGTAAAAAAAAATCATATTCCAAATTAAAATATTTAATTGGCATCGCAAACAGAACTTAAGAAAAAACATTACGACTTACTTTACAACGAGATAATATTGCCCTTCCTGAGAATATTTTAATTTATTTAAAAACAACATATGCTCAAAAACAAGCATAAAAATAGAAGAGATATTGCAGACGTCCGGTTAAGTACAATCCAATTAATCCTCTTCCATTCAAAAAGGAGTACACTGAATAGAAAAAAAGAAGAAAAATATAGCTATAATTAAAAATATCTCAAACGACTTCGTTATCGTAAGGGAATCTCCCTCCCTAGAGCTAGACTCGTCCCATCGGCGGCCGCAATTTTATTTTTCGTCGCTCTGCTGCATTCCCCCGTACGGGCTAATTGCAGGCGGCCCTGTTTCCAGAGCCTCGCCGCAGTGTCGGGCGCCTGAAAAGAGCCCTGTGCGTGCGTGGGATCGGGAGGCGGGAAAGCGACGTCACAATGTCTCCCTAATACGACGGGTCTGTATTCGGAGACGCCGCTGCGTCGCCGCCGTCGGGGTTCGTCGCTGCTGGTGAAAAATATTTGCCGTCGCAAAGGAGGCGAAGGAGTTGCGGTTGATGTCACGGTGTATAGGATGGAAGGCGCAGATGGCTGTTAAGGGGATGCTTTTTTAATTTGGTTGAACTGAAACTGAAAGTATGTGTCATGAGATGATAGATGACACTGCAGCAATTCCGTTAATGAATATCTGCTCAATACGATGTGGAATATTTTGAAAATAAAAAGAAAGGCCCCCTTCTGCATAGCAAAAGTAGGCCATAGAATTTAAAAAAATTAAACTGATGTGTGATACGTAAATAAGTTAATATATATTAATATTTTAAATGTATCTAATATATTTACATCGAATGCCTCCTTAAAATTTACTATCTTATGGCAGCCAAATTTGTTCAACTATTGAGCGACGTATTAAAACCACAAAGAAAATATTTTCCGGCACGTGGTAGTTTTCCGAGTGCGAATTAATGAGATTTTTTTAAATTTTAAATTTTTAAAAATTTCACGCGAAACGTCGAGAACAGAGAACGAAACATCTTTCGTATGTAGTGTGATGAAAATTGTATTAGCAACCCGTTTCACGAACGTCTTACGTAACCTATTATTGTCTCTTTGCAATAATGCTTCAGTTTAGTTTGCGTCTCAGTTTGACATCCGCGTAGTGGCATTTTGTAAGGTAGCCTATCACACACAATTATGTCCAATGGGCCAGAGCGCCACGGACACTTTGAGCCAAGTCGGTGCCGTGGCGAACAGTGCAGTGCAGTGCAGTGCAGTGCAGTGCAGTGCGAATGAATGGGAAGAATGAATGGTTATGTATATAATGAAACTAATATGAATGATGTGTGAATGTAGAAAAAAAATTACCAACCCATATAATAACAATTTACGTAGTATATTTAATATAGTAATGCCAAAGTGCAAGTAAGTTAATTTTAGGTATAGATTGTAAAATTAGTTGTAAGAAAAAGCCCCGCCTCTAGCTGCTTGAGCCGCAAGGCAGTAGCAAAATGTAAAAAAATTAAAGATAATAAATTCCCCTTCTTCACAGGGTTACTGGGAGGGGAGAAAA